CTAAAAATCGAGCTTGAAAAACAAAACACCAAGCGATGCCGGCCCCCTTGCCTTTCCGAATAACCACAGCAAGGCAGGTTCCGAACAGTTTTAAGCTAAGATTCCAAGCAACCGTTCGAGGTAAATGATCAAAAAAAAAAAAATCGAGCTGTGCTAAATCATTTCAAAAATACTCACTTGAAGTGAGTTGTAATGTAATCTTTTGCCCCGAAACTGACTAAAATTCCAAGCGCTAAAAGAGGTTCCATACAAAACTCATCAATTCTATCAACACCCAGTAATGAACTTTTCCCGGTTATGTCAACTCCTGGCATTTGTGGATTTTTTCTTTTCATATTTTATGGAAACACGCATACCTATATCGCAGAATTCGTTTGGCGCGATCACAGGCCAAATGTGCATAAAAGACCGGTGCTGGCAGTGACACTGATTTATTGCACCGGACGTACACATGGCATAATGCATAAGCCAATTGCTGCAAAGAATCTCCTCCTTCCACTCAGTAAAATTCGAAATAAGAATTATAAGGGTTGTTTTGAAGCCGAGTTGCAGAAAATATGCCGAATGCCAAAATGCCAAGACTGCCCCGGACAGTTGATGTAGGGATTCCAAGTCAGTGATACTGCTGAAAAATTCCCATAAAAACCGTGCAGCTGTGCCTACCCTTCGACCCTAATACCCATTGCTTGCTTGGTGTGCGCCACCTTTTCGAAGGCTGTCCGAGTGGTCGTTTACTTTATCGCTGGTAGCGTTCAGCAGAGATCGACGAGGATTATCGGTTCAGACTCAAAAAAAAAAAACCAGAAAGTAGCAAAAATTAGGAAATTTTAAAAATTCGAAAAAAAAAATGCATGGACTAACCTGCCATTCATCGGCTGTTAACTGCCATGAATCGTACAGAACAGTATAGTGAGCCGGTTTTGAGGTTCCCTGCAATACAAACTGTCTCATCTATTTATAAAACTGTAGCTTCTATGCTTACATTTTAGCGCCCTGGCCTCTGGAAATAAGAATATGCTCCAATATATTCAGCGAGGGCGTCTCGTTCTCACTTAGAAGATGCAACGTTCAGGATGAGGGTAGCGGTGCTCAACATTTGTCAAGAACATCTCGAAATAGCTAAAGTGTTGTAGGAATTTTAAAAATACAGAGAGTGAATATCCCTGGCTGGGGGACTGGAAGAGGATGTGGTAAAGCCTCACCAAATACCAACTTTTGTACGATTTTACCCTCCCAAATCAACCAGTGGCAATGACTACCTATAATATTCTCCTCCACGATAGCTGCTTGATAAGCAAGTTGAAGGGACAAGTATGAATCAGAAGAATCTCTAGCTTGCAATCAAAAAATTTGACAAATTTATTTCTTTGATAACGACCTCAAAATGTACGACTACACCGAGAGTGCCTCTAAAAAAGGGAATATTTCAAAACTAGGCAAAAAAGCAAACGAGAAAATCATACCAGAGCGCCGTAGTGTGAGCAGAGGTAGAAATCAAAAGTGGAGCAACTCGTCACTGCACGATCCACTACTGTTCCCGGTGGCACATTTTTATCATTATTTGAAGTATCCTTGTGAAATCTCTTCACCTGTCTCCTGCAGAACGCTTTATATGAGACAAATCTCAAACAGGATATCGAAAATAATACCTATTTTCCCGCATATATGATATTTGCAAGGAAAAAGCATCGATGAATTGGACACTGGCGAAGCTATACAGATAGATAGACAGTTCCATCGATCGTAACTTTTCAAAGATTTTTGAAAAAAATGTGACTAATAGTACACGACGTCTACGGGTTGCCGGTAAAGCAAGAAGCCAGTGCTAGGATGCAGTAGACATAGCAATGGAGCGAAGGATGCTTGGAATGTCTCTTCGGGAGCACATAAATAATGACTTTTCGTTGTGGATAAGTAAAGGGTGCCATTGCGATCAAACGAAAAATCAAATTCAACAGGCATAGTATGTTACTCGTTTTGCCGGCAATCGGTGGAAGTCGTGTATTAGCGATGATACTCGTAATTGAGTGGAAAAATATTCACTGAAGAGGTAGCAAATATATAAAAAACAATCCTTGGGTGCTAAGTAGAATCATGTAACTGAGAAATGAAGAGTTTGGCGCAGCTGAGCTTAATGTGTGGGAACCTCCCAATAACATCATTAATACCGGATCGCTACAGACTGTTTGGCACCCCGATAACCTTGGCTATAATCAAAATGCATCTGCTCCCAGGACTGCTTCGACTGTACTTTCCATTGAAATGCAGCCCAGTGCAAAGCGCATTCAGACCCCGGGGCTAATAGAAGTCAGAAAATAATCGTTGTTTTGGAAAAAATTCTGTAAAAAAAGGGAACTCACCGGCCAGCTCGATCATTTTCACTCATAAAACGAGAGTGATGTCGCTTCTGTATTACGGCGTACGAAACGGTCGGTTTGTAGTCATGCGCCAGCTGATGTGCTGCTGATTTGAGATACAGCAACTCCTCGTTCATTACATCCAAAAATTCAGTATCCGAAACACCATCTCTGGAAAAGTCGCAAAATAAGACTAAAATGAAAAAAAAAAAAAAAATCAAAAAAGTCAGTATAACAATCTAGCAGGAAGGGATAGTCGAATACAGTAGGCCGAGTTTTCGACTCCTCCGATGGGACAGCCAATCCTTCTGCAATCTATCCAGTCGTTTCCACGATAAAACCGGTACTGACATATGATAGAGAGTCAAATTCACCTGGAGATTGCTCGGAATTATCCCTCATAGATACATACATACATACATAAAGATCCATGCACAGAATTGCACACAAACATGCAAAAATACGCACACATACATGCAAATACATGAACACATGAACAAATATACATACATAAGCAAGATTCACTGCACATCACTTACCGAAGTACCACGATGTGCTGCGGTTTACGGCCAGTTTGCAGTTCAAAATCGACGATACGCGCCCGGAATGCGTCAACAACGTATGCCACCTTTTCCTTGTTGCGATGCTGAATTTTTATGGAGGCAGCATACCTGAACAGTATAAAGAGCCTTTACAGCCACCAAACACCTCTCAATTTTTCATTTTTCTAGCTAAAGCAAAAAAAAAAATTTGCATAATCATAGCCGTGCCAAGGGAAGTCCCTTTCGCCTACTGCATTTTTGTGCTTTTTTTTGTCCCATGTTAATAAAATTTCACTTCTCCCCGTCACTTTCTAACTTATTATGATCTCTTGTCCAAATACCGGGAATACCAAGACTGCTGGGAGTGGAAATTTCCTATTAATGATGCCACTGAAATGTTCTCAGATGCTGAGCGCAGCTATACATACCATGCTGCCTTTGGACTGTCTGAATAAAAAAATTGAAGCTTTTTTCAAGTTTCATTCCTCCACCCTCCCCCTTCCCCTCTTTTGAGAGACATAGGCTCTCAGAAGCAGCCCCAATGAGAATTTATTGCCAACAACTTTTCGGCATTAGCGAAGTTGTCGATGAAGCCCTTTTCCTTTTCCGAGGACGATGAAGCCCTTTTCCGATGAAGCCCTTTCCGGCATATGTCAGCAGAAAATAAATGATCAACAGACTCGCAGCAAAACTGTGTTATCGATTCTACATCTAATACTTGAAAGTGGGAAAAACCGATGGACAAACCTGGTTGCAGCGATATTCAATGATCCCACAACAGCTGCAACTGATGGGCTCGCAGTATCGCCGGATGGCGGATGCGTCACATCAATGCCAATGAAAAGTGTTGGATCTCGTTCATCCGTGAATTTCTGCCAGCTGCCGAGTGGAAAAATAGGAAAAAAATAAATAAATTTGCGGATTTCAAAATCGTACATCGCTATGAAACGTCAGAAACCCAGATCAACCCTGGGAAAATCGGAAAGCCAGAGTGTGACTGTTCAGGCCGCTGACCTGTCCGAACAGTTTTGATTTCAGTATTTCGCTAGCTCAAAAGCGAAATCTACCATAGGAATGATCGATGCCTGGCGCATTCTCAATAGAATTAAAAATTTGTGCTTGGATGGGGGATTGCTGCATTATTTCATAGAAAATTCATTGTGTTTCTCTGTTTTTTCGTTTCTCCACAAAAAAAAAGAGGGCAAATTTTGAAAAATACACTTACTTGTGACGATTTCCAGCCAGCTCATTGTTGATGCCACCAAGTTTGGCGTTAATTTTCATACAAAGATTGCGTGCAACGGTATTTCGTTCACCACCTCCACGCATTTTCATGAATGTTTCTGTGCGTACCACCTGGCATGCAATACCTTCCTCCTGATCACAGGCTGTCTTGATCATTCCTATAACGGCGGGGATATTTTGCCCGAGCAAGGTAAGCAAAAAGCAACAAGTATTAAGATCAGTGAAAAAAATCCCGACCCCTCCCTCCCAATCATAATATTTCTTTTGTTCTTATTAATCTAAATCCTATAGTCTCTCCTCTTTAGACCATCGTAAATTAGTGTATTAATCCTGCTATTTTCTTGTTTTAAACAAATTGCCATGTCCTTTATGTACACTTTTTTGATGAATACCTCACTCCTATATATATTGAAAGCAATTTTTGCGTTTCTGACCTATTTTTTCAATTTCATGTTTCTTTCAGCATTTCGTAATTACCAAAATGAATCACCAAGCACTGGCTGTTGTTTCATCCTTGAAACAAGAAGCCATCGTCTGTGCTGTCAACGAATGACTGCTAATGACATTTGCTATTACGTGGGCTTTTTTTCTGAGTGCTTTTGCCATTAGAAGTCGGAAGGATTTTTGACCTTTGATTTTTTTTTGATTTAAAAAAGGAAGCTTTTTCACCGCTGCTCTACGTGTGCCCTTGGGATACTTTGGCCTGATAAGTCACTGGACGACTCGCAGCAGGCAATAGCGAGTTCTGGCACATCTCCAATAAATTATTGCGGTACAGGCTGGCACGAGAGGTACTATCAAGTCAGTGTTTTCAAGGGTGGTAAGCCGATTGTAGCAACCAGGTTGACCTCGA